TATATATATATATATATATATATATATATACATATATAAAATACATTAAATAAGGTTTGGTACTTGATATAAAATCTGGGTCCTGAAGCAAAACCAGTTGAAAATTGGAAAATTGAAAGACATTGTTCCCAATAATCTTTCACTATTACAGGTTTAACATAATGTAGTTTTACTGCAAAATACTGTCAAATGTATGTTTTTAGAAGGAAAAAGTATTATTTACCATATAAAAAAACAACTGAGAAAAACAAAGTTCCCTGTGTGACACACCACATATGATTATATTTTAAGTTTTGTTTCTTCATATTTATGTTAACAGTAATGCAAAGTTTTTTCATCAACACCCTGATGTTTTTTTGTATGTATCATGTGCATCAGCTATACGTGAGTACTGGCCATGTTTATGAACAGGGCATTTGCTTTGGATTCATCATGTGGCTTTCTATTGTACCACCTGGTTATCAGTAAATTTTAAGGTACAAAGCATTTTGGTAGTTCAGGTAGCTTGTATATTAACATTTTATCACTTAATGAAATACTCGGTTATAAATTGTAAAATATATAGGCACCAGTATTCCATCCTATAACAACTGAAACATTGTCATAGTACTTTTACACAGAATTTTTGGCAACCACAGCTGCCATTTTTTACTGTACATTTAACAGGATATTTTACAGCTCATAAGATCCTATATGATTTTTGTCCGTAGTTTGTTGAGAGTGTGTATATGTATATGTACCAGTTCGTTTCTCTCATCTGAAAGCAGGGTGTTCCTATCCTCTAGTTTCCTGATGACTGCCTGCAGCTCAGCAATCTTCAGTTGAAATCTCCTTACATCCCTCTCATCCACGTCCTATGAATGGATAAACGCTTTATTGTGTGATGGTGTGAAGTTCAGCATGCAGGAAAAAGCTCTCTTCCATGTTAGTCCAGCTCTAATGAGCGTTTATGTTCCTGATGATATAAAAGCTTTTTATCAGCCATTTCTGATTGCAGAACAGAACGAACCTGGTTATTGACAGAGTCTGAGTTTTCCCCGAGAGACGGCGCCACCTCTCTCTTCGGACTCCCATAATGCCGCTCTGATTCCTCCTTCTGCAGCAGTAGACGCTGTATCTGTCCCGCCTGCACTCCCAGCTCTTTTTCCAGTGACTGCACCACACGATCTCTGCTCTTCAACTCATCCATCTGACACAAACACAAACATACATCGGAGTGCATGCTTTTTGTGGTCCATTTCACAAAATATACTTCCTTCAGGTCTAGCTGCTGTACGAATAGCAAAAATAGCATGGAGGTAATTCCTAGTTATGCACAGATATAGAAACTTTAAGGTTTTGGGCCAGTAAGATCTTTGTTTTTAGATTTAGATTTTTGACAGTAAAGACATTTACAATGTTACAAAATATTTCTATTTCAAATAAATGCTGTTATTTTGAACTTTTTATTCATTGAAGAATCCTGAAAAAAGGGTATAACAGTGTCCACAAAAATATGAAGCAGCATAACCGTTTTCAATATCGAGATCATAAGATATGTTTCTTGAGCACCAAATCAACATATTGGAATGATGTCTTAAGGATCATGTGACACTGAAGACTGAAAGCTGAATAAATTAAATACATTCAAATAGAAAACAGATATTTTAAATTGTAGTATTTCACAATATAAACAAAAACGCTTAAAAAAAAACACTGACCCCACCTTTTGAATGGTAGTGTACATAAACTGTGTTTAATAATTGGTGTATATTAAATAATAAGCTTTTGGTGTGGCCAATAATTAATTTTTTTTTTCAAAACTGTATAAAAATGAATAATATAACTTTCTTAATGCCAAACAGATCTCTATTATTTTTTTTTAAATCATCCTTTGATGATGTATTGAACACATCCAGTTTTCTTCATTATAAGGGTGCTAATATCAATTCGGTGCAAAAAATAAATAAATAAATAAAATCCTGTCTATCTGTCTGCTGTCATAAGAAACACAATTCATGACTGATTGATATAAGTAATGAGACTGAGACATTTTGAGGGCTTTTATACATTAATATCAGCTTATCATTAATATCAGCTGATATTAGAAAAATTATGCATGTCAAATGTCAAACAGAGACAATTATATAAGTATGCATAAACATTTGTAGGTTGATTCCCCCAAAAGGTGTAAACCAGAGCAGCCACACTGAATCAACCAATTGCCTGAGACTGGACTGAGACAGCCATTATTTTTACAATTTCATGTGGTGACGTTTTTAGATAACTCCATCCATCTTTCTTACCAGTCTCCGGATTTCCCTCTCGCTCTCGCGTTTGATTCTCTGGATCTCCTCCTGATGAGCTTGATGGGCCACTCTGAGATCGGCAGCTTTGGCTCTGTCGGCCTGCACAGCATTGGACAGCGCCTCCTCTGCCTGCCGCCGTGACGTCTTCGCCTCCTGCAGCTCCTGCGTGAGCCTGAGTTTCTCTGCCTCGTAGCTCCTGCGGGCCTCCTCTCGTGCCTCCTCCTTCAGGGCACTACGTAGCTCGCTGCTGGCTCCGTCCCGTAAAATACACACCAGCGCCTGAAGCCGGGCCAGTTCTGTCTCGCGGAGACGTGCCACCCGGGCCAGCTCGGTCTCGTGTTGCCGAGACAGGCTCTCTCGTGTGGCCGCCACCTCTCGCTGCTTCTCCTCATGGAGCTTGACGCGGAGTTCAGTGAGAGCGACCGAGTGCTTGTGCTGCTCAGTCTCTCGTTGGGCCCGTAACTCTTGCAAACGTTCCCGTAATTTACCCACCTACAAGATTGAGAGACGAGGTTATTTCACAGGACATTAACCAAGGTGAATATTGGCGTTCACATTACGGTTCTCATAATATCACAAGTTCACCAAAGAGTTTCTATTGCTTCTTCAAGCCTGTGATTACTAAGGTATTAATAAAATAACGTATGTTTACATTTTTTTATTGAGATTCATGGGGTGAATTTCCAATTGTATGTCAGATACCAATCTTTGGCATTAATGTATTTAAACAATTATAGTTTTTAACATGTAAATGTCTCCAAAAAGACAAAAATGATCTGTCCAAATCATTTACACAGATATATACTCTCAATGAACAGACTGAAATAGGTTATACTTTATTTTAAGGTGTCATTGTAACAGTGTAACTACACAAATAAGTACTGAATAATATGAATTAACTACATGTACTTGGTTTAGGATTAGTTACTTGATATAATCCTATAATTTACTATTATTACTATGTTACGTACATGTAGCATGTGTAACTATGTCACCTTAAAATAATGTGTTAATCTGAAATATTTTAGAGCCTCGGACCTTCAGGTCATGCAACTGCAGAGTGAAAGAACCTGATAGGTCTCTCAGCTCATCAGGAATGAGTCAGATACCTAGGTTTCATTCCAAACATGATGAAACAATTAGATATTATGCTGTCTGCAGCTGGAATAAGCTTCCAGAAGTCAGATGTGCCTCAAACGCAGCCAGATTTAAGTCCAGACTGAAAACACTGTTTTTCCCCGGGCTTGCACCACTTTTCGTATATCCAAATGAATCCAATCCGATTTCAGATTCTGAAAGTTCTGTTTATATGAGCCCTAGACTGAAATCTGATTCACATTTTCTTCTACATGTATTCTGGACAAAACATCAGCACGTGAGCAGTGCCCAGTCGTCGTGCTGAAAACTGGAGAAAGCCTGTGCATGAGTATAATTCTCATTTTGCCTTGATGTCAGACCTAAAAGAAAGGCTGACAAACATGTCAGAAGTGATTTTTTTAGTAAACATTTTCTCCTTCTCGGACCAAAACGTAAGATGTAAATAAAAAATACTGTAGGCCTACATAAAACGTATGTAAACAGATCTTTTAATAAAGGTTTCTAGTAAAAATGCGTATCATGGAATTGCGCATATGTGCAGGGTATTTTTGTAGACAGACTTATTTAAGCATTAACATGATTATTTTTTCCTATCAGTCAGATTATTTCGGATCTACATCACCCCTTTTAAGCTCAATCAGACAGACTGAGGTGTTTATATGAAGGTGCTTCAATCTGATTGAGCCATCCGATTATGTTGGTGCATGTAAATGTAACTACTGATCTCACTCCTTTTAGACATAGTTTTTATTTTCCTTTTATTTGTTTCATGTTTTCTTGTTGATTTACAAGTATTTTTATATATTTTATTTTCTCAAATTATTTTAAAATTAACTTAATATGCCAATGTGTAGCACTTTCAATTACCATTGTGTGTGAAATGTGTTAAGGCAATTAACTTGCCTTGTGTAAAGTAGGGCATAATTAGAAAACGTATATTGACTATTAAAATGTCCATTAGTCTCCCAGACCTCCATCCTCTAAATTTACTGACCGGATTTGTGCCTAGCTTTTTGGCACTTGCCACATATTCTCTGCACTTTGTTTCCACCATTAGCAAATGTCTTCATATTCCGTCAATATTTTATAACCTTCAGGGTTTTAGAATGGTTTAGAGAGAGGGACAAAACGTAGTGACCAAGCAATGAGCTAGAAGGAATGAAATGTACCAAATTGCTTTTACATTAAGCTCTGTGTAAAAACATTGTTTGATTTCATTTATTTTACCAGGTCTAAAACCATGCTGGCATCATTTGATTCGAATATGTCAAATAATTCCCTTCGACTCCATAAACTGTCACATTTATCCTGGCTTTCCAGCAGTGTTAAGTTGTCCCATTGTTTGACGCTTCCAGAGGGTGTGGCATGTTTTCTCTTCTACTCATTATGGCCATGAAGCAATCACTGGCACAAATTACTGCTCTGACTGGTGATGGATTTTGGGATATATGATTCATGAGAGGATAAATCTTCTGAATCGGTTTAGATATTTGTAGCCTGAACAGCAAGAAGAATGCATGCAAATCTTATTTAAATGACATTCTTGTATGATTTACAGTCTCTGATTACAGTTTTACAACATGAGTTTTAGGAAATGTGATTCAGTCTGACCGTTTTTCATTTATTTTTCCTCATTGAGCAATGCAGATGTAATGCCAAGTGTAAATTCATCACTCAGTTTTCATATAGTGAACTATTTAAAATACACTAGTAAATAGTGAATGCGTAAATTTTGTGAGCGATTATGGACGCTTCCCTGTCTGAAAAACATTAATAGCTCCAAATATGCTTTTTGGATCACACAGAGATGTCATAAACAAACATGAGCAGAGCATAGATTCACAAATCAATACTTGTGTCTCCTGGTATTGTACTAATACTTAAGCCATTAAACAAAAAACAGATCAGTTTTCATAAATTGCAGCATAGTAATGCAGACAGTTCCTCGTAAAAAAAGAAGTAAACTTTAACATACTTTTACTTATATGTACTTATCACAGAAATACTTTACATTCAGTTTGCACTTGCACATGTTCTTTTAATGCATATTGCTATTTTGACCCACTTAAGTAGGCCTTAAGTACATCTTTATATGCGATTTCATAATTCTACTGTCTTTGAAATATGTTTAAAGTGTTCCTTACTGCTAAATGTACTAACAAGCATTTATGGTAAACTAAAATGTGCTTTATTGTCCTATTGTTCTATTGAAATGTGTATGCCATGTATTTAAATTTAAATATATATTACACATTTGTAATGAAGTTGCAATTTAGTACATTTAAATTGTTAACTAGAAATCTATTTTTGAATATCATTACGATAAGTAAAACTTTTAATTTAGCATGATCACAAAGTGCACCTTTTAAAAGTGTACTTAAGTGTCATGAAAAGTGTCTCTTTATGTACACTTAAATGGCCTTTTATGTTATTAATATTATATTATGTCAATTACTTTTTTTTTATACGCTTGTAGGATTTGAAATACTACTAGTGCACAAAATCAGATTGGGTGTAATGTGAACAAAGCCATGCAGTAGATGGTCATACCTTGCCTCTTTCCTGTTGCTGTTCATTTTGCAAGTCACTCAATCGGCTCCTCAGCTCTTCATTGGTTGTCTGTAGAGTTTCTATTTCCTGTTTTCCTCTGCTCTTTTTGGGAGGCGGGGCCGAGGTGGGCGTAGTTGCAGCCATCCTCCCCAAATGATGATTTACCAGTCAAATCCACACTTCCACAGCCAAATTTCACTCTAAACCTTTTGTAACACTGGAAATTGACCACACCGTCACCGGCATCTTCCTCTTCTCCTGCTGGAAACAGAAAGGGTCGGTCAAAATCCAAAGTGACTGCACACACAGTTGTTCCACTCAGTAAGAGCGAGGGTGTTGCCCTATGCCCTTACACATGCTCACAGACTACAGTCAACACAAACAAGCTTACACACACTGATCTGAACACTCACATGTGCCATTTGTTCACTGGAATTTGGCTCCAACGTATTTTGCATGTTTGTGCCTCCATCTAGTGGTGTCTCAAGGTATTACGTGACAATAGATGCAACAATTTTGTTTTGTTGTGTGTGTGTGTGTGTGTGTGTGTGTGTGTGTGTGTGTGTGTGTGTGTGTGTGTGTGTGTCATGAAAGTGTCTCTTTAAGTACACTTAAATGGCCTTTTATGTTATTAATATTATATTATCTTCAATTACAATTTTTTTTTTTAAATATAGTTTTAGGATGGCTGCAGTTTTTTTTTTTTTCCGCTGACCCAGTTAGACCCATAGTTCAGACTGCCCTGCTAGTGTTTTAACTGGCCCCATCTTTCAAAAGGAGCTAGTATGTACCATTTATGTAATAATAAGGTACTAATGGCCCTTTAGGCCAAAAAAAAAAAAAATGTACCACCCTTGCAACAGCTTTTGTATTTTTTTTTTTTTTTTGAGTGACAGTGATATACAGTGTGTGTGTATATATATATATATATATATATAGTTCATATACCACATACGCTTGCAATCAAAATTATTACAAAATTATATATTGTTATACTTTTCAAATGTAAGTTTTTCTGAAGATCCAGAGTTTTTTTTTTTTTTTCATGTGCATCTACAACAGCTTTATGGCATATTAAAGGTGATAATGTAATATTTTTGAGTTACATGCTAAAACTCAAGTAAGTCTTTGGAAACTAAACAAATTTAGCCCATGAATGAGCTGAAGCTGAGTGGCAAATATGGCCAAGTCAAAAGAGCTCTCACAAAAGCTATAGAGAATAAACTGTTTTATTAGATTGGACAGTCTGTGGCGACAAGAAGAAACCTAGAGACAGGTTCCTAGAGACACAGCTAGCAGCTTTATGCATAACTTTAAAAGGTGTACCAGAAAACCTTTGAGGGCATTGAAGAAAAAGCACAATATCATCAAGAGGAATAAAATGTTTGATCAGAATAACTGTAAAAAAACCCTCAATTTACTTCCAAAGACTTGCAAGATGACCTGACGAAAGGAGGAAGCAACATTTCAATGTAGAGTATAAGAAGAACACTAAACGAGCTTGGCCTTCATGTCAGGACAACCTGCCAAATGCAACTTTTGACCAAGAAGAACATACAAGGCTGGCTTGAATATGCTCAAATTCATTTGGATAGACCTCTGGAGTTCTGGAAGAATGTTTTATGGAGTGATGTGACCCAACTGAAACTTTTTGAACCCGTGGATCAGTGGTATGCCTGCAAGAAACGCAAAACTTATGAGCAGAAGAACACCATTTCCATAGTCAAACATGGAGTTGGACCATTCTTGTTATGGGGGTGTTTTGCTGTTGCGAGAAGTGAAAAATATTGACTGTATGAAGGAGATCATGGATTTTTTGAAGTATCAGGCCATTTTGGCAGAGATTGTGATGTCTTCGTTGCAGAGACTGAAACTTGATTATCAGTGGACTTTCCTGCAGGACAACCTTCCCAAAGTATACATCCAAATCTCGGTTTAGTGATCGGTCGTCAATGTTCTTATATGGCCTTTTCAGTCTTTACGTTTAAATCTTTTTCAAAATATTTGGTGCAATTTGAAGAAAGCAGTGGCAATGAAAAAGATAAAGATTATCAGTGATCTGGAAGCTTTTTCAATGGGCCAAGATTGCAGTAGAGAGGTGACAGAAGTTTCTGAGCACTTACAGACAGCGTTTATTAAAGGTTATAAAGAATAAAAGATTCTGCACTAAATTTGTGGGTTGAATCATTATGTACACGGATCTTTAGAACCAATTATAATTTTTTTTTTTCATTTTTCTTCAACTTTACATTCTCAAATATTCTCAAATCAAATATATTAATAAACGTCCTATAATAGTTTACTGATGCCTTTGTTTCTCTGTTTTCATAGAATTTTGTTCTCGTAGAAAAATGTCTTGAAGGTCAAGGGGGTTGAATAATTTTGATTGCAACTATATGTAATTAAGTTTTTTTTATAATATTTTCCAATAATATTTAAACAATATTAAATTGTAACTTTATGGCCACTATAAATTCATGAACACACTGAGCTACTTTAAATAAGTTCACATTTGTGACATATTTTAAAAAGCAATATTTGCTTAAACACTGTTGAAGCACTACACAGGAGGAAATTAAATAGCAAATTTAGCTAATACTAGCACTGCATCAAAAAAAAAAAAAAAAAGTATGCCAGAAACAGAGCATCAGGTTAGGAGAGCTTTTTAAACTCCTTTATAAGCCATTGGGTTAGAAAAGAATAGCCATATGATACAACTTAATTAACCATAAATTAAGATGTTTACCTTGAACTATTTCTGTCACATAAAGAGTACAAATACACACAAAAGTTATACTGCTCTCTAATACAGAGATTGAGACTCAACACACTACAACACACTGAAACACATCTGGATTGTAATTCAGGAGAAACTAAGTGTTTAACAAACTAGTTTGAACTGTTAATGACATTTCACATTTACGTCATCTGTTCCAAAATGTTATTCTTCCTTAGGTAAAATGACAGCAAACCAGGGGTTTATAAAATCATGAACATTTGCACGAGTTGAACATTTGCTAAATATATCCCACACACACACACACACACACACACACACACACACACACACACACACACACACACACACACATTTGTCTCCCAGATGTCCAGCCAGTCACAAGAGTTTACTGCCAGTCTGCAGATATTGCAAGTTTATGGAAAACATCAAAGTCAAGTTCCCTATAAAAACGGGAGAGGAAAAAAAAACCATAAAAAATAAAACCACTTTATCGAATTTTGCACTTTTAAGTAGCTAACAGTCAAATACAGGAAGACTCCAAAGTCTTTATCTTAAAAAACAGAGAGAGAAGAGAGAGGTGCTCAAAATACGGTATTTAAACCTTGTATTTCAAGTAGTGCAGAGTTATTATTGTTAACTAAAACTAAAACTATTAAAAACATTTTGTTTGCGGAAATAAAGCTAAAATAAAATAAACATTAGATAAAAGTTAAACTAAACTTTATATTAAACTTTAAATTAAATTAAAAAAATAAAAATAAAATTAAACTATAAAAATAGAAATGTTGCCTTTGTAACTGAAATAAGTTGAAGTTGAAGCACTAAACTACTGACTGTAAATACATAAAAACTAAAACTGAACTAAAATGAACATAACATAACAACACTACTATAAAATTAAAATTAAAACTGAAAATTTAAAATTAAAAGATAATTAAAATATATTAAAATATGGTATATCAATAATACTAAAGAAACACTGGCAGATAGAGCGGCCCCTGGACACTTAAAGGGATAGTTCACCCAAAAATGAAAATTTGATGTTTATCTGCTTACCCCCAGGGCATCCAAGATGTAGGTGACTTTGTTTCTTCAGTAGAACAAAAATTATGATTTTGAACCCCAACCGTTGCAGTCTATCAGTCGTATAATGCATGGCAATGGTAATAAAATCTATGAGAGTAAAAAAAACCGGTGCGTGAGGTGTGTACGCGCTCTGGCGTAGTTTACGTTAATGGGTGTGTTGATATCCAGCTGAAGAGCAATAACCCATAACTTCAGGCGAGCAGGCTCAGAAGTTGGGAATTACGTGGAAAGTCACCACTCCCGAATGATTTCGCGCAAGAGAACGTAATCTTTTAGTTTTAAGTCGGCATAATTTGTGTTCTACTGAAGAAACAAAGTCACCTACATCTTGGATGCCCTGGGGGTAAGCAGATAAACATCAAATTTTCATTTTTGGGTGAACTATCCCTTTAAGACACACATGAAAATGTCATTGCTTGCATTACATGAAATATCAAACCAAGTTGCATCTGCATAATAACAACCACAAACAGCACATTTTAAAGTCTGACTTAAGTGTCTAAATACATTTTTGGGCCACGTACATTCCACACAGGCCAATAGTGCATACGCAAAACAAATTTACAAATGTCCCACCCTAGGAAAACAAACCAAACTCACTGAAGTAAACCACTACCAGAGGACACGGAATGAAAACGATTACAAGTCTACCTTGTTCAACATTTCTACTGACCTTTGAAACTATTAATGCCCTGATATCTTAAAAACTTACATAAAGTTGTAATCTAAACAGGCGGAGAATAAAAGAGCAGTGTGTTATCTAAGCATATTCAAATTAATGAAGCTGCTCGCTGGTCATGGGTGAACACTTGTGACCATACAAGTCTGTCCTATGGAGATACGCTTTAAACCTTTCTCAGTTTAGAGTTAAAGCAGATTAAAAATGTTCAGTCTATATGGTAAAAGAGCTCTATACAGATGCAGGACAGGTTTCAATTGCTAAGGGAAGTTCTGTTAGGGCGTAACAGCTTTGTTGCCAATGTAAATGCTACAGTGTGTTTGGCAAGGAGGGTTGTGACAGTAATGTGCAACGTCCGGGATCTTATTGAAGCCACCCAGCAAAATGTAATCAAATAAGGAACCGCAAAGAAACCCAAGCACAACAGCAAGTCCAGCACTGGCTTTAGACCTGCATTTGACGGTCAGACATAATCAACCAGGGCTGCGTTTCCCAAAAGCATTGTAAGCCTAAGTACATCGTAGACCCATTGCCACCAATGGAGCTACGATCAACTTAGGCTTACGATGCTTTTGGGAAAAGCAGCCCAGGTCAACCACATTTGAATGTTACATTAATTATGTAACCTTTATGTTACCTTTATGTTACCTTTTCAAAAAGTACACCATTGTATATTATTTACCCTTAAAAACTGCATATTAGTACCTTAAAGGTAGTACCATTTGAAAGTTAAAGACTCAGTGATAGTGCACCTTTTTTCTGAGAGTAAGTAACCTGGTATTTGCCAACATATTAAAAAAAAAAGAATAAAATATAATAAATAAATAGATTAATAAAATTAAAAAAAACAGTACAATTAAATTTTTTCCC